AGAACCAGAAACGTCATGCGGACCACACAGGCCTGCGGGCCACGAGCAGTTTAAATATTTCCCCCTATAAGTAAGGGTGCGTTTGATTTACACCGCAACGACAGCAGATGTCAGGCGTGGGAGTTTAACGTTAACAGTCGATTTAAGAAGAATGCAATGTGATGGAGTGGTTGCTTTACAAGAGTTGACATTCCTCAATCATCAGGTTATTAGAGAGACACGGTCGCTTTCCATAAGTCAAAATATATATTGATTATACAATATAGCTTTTTTGTAATTCCCCCACCATACATTTGTGTTCTTTTTTCTCTTATATAACGTTATCCTTCCATCAAAAGTATTGCGCTTGAATTTCATTACATTTCAATTGTAAAATAAGTTTATATACTTATATATTTTTATGGCTGTTTTAAGAAATAATATTCAATTAAACCCATATTTTACTTTTTTAAAACTCATTTTAAGATAAAACCCTTTGTCTCACATGAGTTGGTTTTTTTGTTAATTCTAACGTTTTCAGGGACAGATTAACACAGACCGTTTAAGAGCAATTAGCAAACATGTATTTCCCAATCTTTAGTTTAGCAAATCCAGAGTTCATGTTGCCACCAGAACTGGATACAGCGTGGGAGGCGGGGCCTCATTCATTCCTTTGAGAGTTGCGAGGCCGGCATGACGATAAAATGGCCCACTTTTGAGAGAGCGACAACATCACAGATTACCCCGGCATGCCTGAGAGTACCGTATGTGGCGCTCATAATACATCGCAACTTTAAACCAAAATGCTCGTTCACATCAAGCACATCGCATTTGCGTACACGTAACAGCACCAGAACCGGTGCACAGCGTTGCGATATTGTACAGACTCATGAGCATGGCGAGTAACTTGGCTGATCTCCTGGTCTTGTGTATTTGAATGAGCATGAGCAAAATCGGTTCACTGATATTAACCGTAGAGACAGCGAAGAGAAAAGGACACAGGAATGAGGTAGGAGTCGAGCTGATGCTGTGTGTCGTAAACGAGTCTCTCAAGTAAATGTCCTTATTGTGGGCGCGCTATACCTGATAAACAGTCAATCGTGATTAAAGTTGATACTTATCTGATGATTTGTCCTTCTGCCTGAGTTTTCTCTCTCTCACCAACTACGCTGTAACAGGATCTAGTGATATCCAAGCAACAGAGTTCATTTAGCCATGAAATGAATTATTGCACTGTATATTACTATTTAATATATATATCAGTCTACAGGTGGTTCCTGTAAAGAACACAGCAGTATCAGTGAGCTAGAAGGACCTGCCCCTGAACATCTGCTTAGAGCCTCTGCAGGACAAGAGGGACAAATACAAACGAGTGAGAGAAAACATACAATTAGAAGTAACTCAAGTGATCCAGGAGAAGCAGCTGCCGAGTCCACAAGAGAGATGGCAATAACCTTCTTCTAGAGTCTATATATATCGAAGAAGGCACGAGGCGCGTATGTTGAACACATATAATCCTCAACGACTGCGCTAAGTTATCTCCTAGTATAAGAAAGGAACGTAGTGATGACCATGTAATACACATTTACGGTACAAGCATTTAAGTCAGCATAGCCATCTGAGGCCCAGTGAGGTAAGGTAGTAAAGAAGAGGAAATGACACTCATGTAACAAATGACTAGGAAATGATGACTACAAAGGCAAGACACATGTGCAATATAGCATCATCCCCTCATATTCTGATCCACAACACACAGTGGGATATCTGGCTCAGAGCATTGGAGAGCAGAGCCTGCATAACTAGAGAGCACAACGGTGCCCTTCTCTCTCACTTAGTCAGAGTTTAATACAATGGCAGCTATCAGGAGCAGAGTTAGACGTCACCGCACTGCTATTCAGCGAATTCCGCGATCCACTGCCCTCCACAGCCGAGCGCCCGCCGCGCAGCTGACAGCACTGAAAGGACACGCTATGAGACACCCACCTGGCGCAACACTCGCGCTGCCTAAGCAGAGTGCGTAGGGGAGCACACCACACGCGTACAGAGGGGGACATGCATCATCTGCGTATCTCTGTCATTATATTCTAGGACCGGAACGAGACAGCCCGGAGCCCCATGAGCTTCTATCTGTCTCTGCATCTCTCGAATCTCCTTGTATCTCATGTCGCGAGCAAGTGCACACGATCCAGCATCGCTACACATGGAAGCAGCTATCCGTCGAAGAATGAGAAATAGCAGTCACAGTAGGAGCAATTCACTTGTGTCAAGATGATTGTTCCGTAACTGAGCACAGCCTGGCGCGAGCTAGCGATCTATGTGTAAAACGAGCATGACCGGAGGAGGTCTACAGCGATGTAGAGGTGTGGCGGAGCCATGCCCTGGTGTGGACCAATGAGCACAGGTTGTCGTGTACCCTACGGCTACGATCAACCAGCATATAGGGTCCGCCTGACTAGAGAAGTCAGCTGAGCTAGGAATACATTTGTCTCACCAGAATATGGAATCTGGTGTTTAACACATCGCAGCGGAAAATACTCTAATGGTGATGGTGAGACTGTCAGAGTGAAGAAGAATCTCCAGAGGACCAGAGTCCAGCTGGACTATGACAGGGGGGAGGTGTCCTTCTACGACTCTGAAGACATGACTCACATCTGCACTCACAGAGACACTTTCACTGAGAAACTCTTCCCATATTTTAGTATTGGAAAAGCTGGTGATGCTAAAACTGCTGATGTCAAAATCTGTCCAACAGAGATTCCTCTGAGATGCTCAGGTAGTGTGGTGAGGTCTGAGTGATTATCATTTTGTTTAAGTGGTGTTTTTTTTGTCAGTTACAAATAATTCCAGTTAGTTGTTTAAAGATGTCAATCCTGTAATTTGAATAACATTCAGAGATCCAGGTTACTGAAATAAATAAGCCCTTTTTCTCTTTCAGAGGATAACATAATGTAACACATTGACTTATTTTATACTATAAAAATATATTTTCAAATTCAGAATCACACACTAAAGCATAAAGTTAGAATTAAGAAAATAGTGTTTGTAATGTAAATATGTTGAAAAACGGGTTAATTGAAAGCAATCACTTTGTGTAACTTGTTCCCATTAATATTTCTAGAGATGAGAAATAACCATACTTACGTACTAACTGTACGTTTGATCTTTATGTGTAAATCATTTCAACACAGAAAGCCTTTTCTTTCTTTTTTATTTTTGTACTTTCACAATAACTTCTTATTTTTGAATTTCCCAATTAGTTAATAGCTCTCTCTAAATGGTATTATCCAAGAGACTATATGATCCTGAAACATTAACATCAGTGTTTGCCACATGTTGTGTTTAGTGCAGCTGTGTATTATTCACCTGTCATCTGTTTATCATGTGTGACTGTTGACCGTCAGACATTTAATATATTATTTCATTTTTGTAATAACTTTTGTGGTAATGTTTATATTTTTCTTCAAGGTTAGATCAGAGGATCACAAAATTGCAGGAAAACAAACAAAATGTTCTTTTAGAAATAGTTTGGCAAAAATCAATAAAGTGAATCATTAAGTTAATAAGTGTTTATATTGTTTGTTGTTGATAAGTATCAGAAAATATATAAATAATAAAAACATCAAAACCTCAAATTTGGATTATTTTCTTGATAAATGATTTTAACGGTGTACAGTTGTTTAAATTGGTATGGATATGGATTGATAAATATAGCTGGCATTAAACTAAACATCTACAAGGAGTCTAATTTAAAATAAAACATTAAAAATGCTGACAAAGCCCTGACTAAGTCTTTAAGTTGTGGATGTAGAAATGTTTGGCCCATTTTAAAACTAACCACTAACATGAATCTTTTCTTTATCTTTGAATAGCAGCATTTATTTCACCATTATTGAACATTTATCAATGTGTTTGTTACTGCCCATTAGATGTGAATCTTATTCTCTACGTCAGGGGTTCCCAAAGTGGGGGTCGCGAGATGATTACAAAATAAAAATGGAAAAAAAAAATATATATATATATAAAAAATTATGTATTATTTTTTTTAATATATTTTTTAAATTATTATTATTAATAACGTTTGCATAGACATTTTTTTCATAGACAATCCACTAGCGCAGTGTTTCTCAAACTTTTTTTTATTCACTAGCACCCCCCCAGTCTCTGGCACTGTTATTTTGGGGGTCGCGGGCTGAAAAGTTTGGGAACCCCTGCTCTACGTGGTCAGGGAAGAAACATTAATGGCTTCTGTCCTGAGTTACTTACTAAATATCAAAGCTGAAACAGATTCACTTTTCTATTTAAATGATCATTTTATTGATAACACCTTAACACATTGTCTTGAAGTTATAGAAACACGTGTAAGAGAACAGAGCAATAATCAGAAGAGTCAGGGAACTAGGGGGTTAATATTATTGTACAGAAGAAAGTGGCAAAAAGAGACAATGGGAAATCAGAAAGGGCCAACTGCAGAGAAATGATCGAGTTAGGATGGAAACAGGGAATGGGAGAAAGAGGGAAAGACCCCCGACGAAGAGGTGCCGGCTCCGTGTTGTCAGTGCCACTTGTTCACTGTCTGGAGAAAGAAGATGGCCGAGGTTCAGAGAGAAACAGAGGCTCCAGTTTATCTCAGTAACGCTTCACGTGAAACAAACAGCTGACAGGAAGGCAGCAGAGAGTAGTGATT